GAGCCTTAACCAAACAGTGAATTAATCCACTTGAATGAATTAACTAGGTGGTAGCTGGGGGATGCGCCTCGAGGAGGTGGGTCACTTTGGGGTATGTATATTTTGTTACTGAGGAGCAAGAGGTCTCTCTGCTTCCTGGTTGTCATGTCCTGAGCTTTTTTCTCCATCAATCCTTTTGCCATAATGTTCTGCCTCACTTTGGAACCAGAGCACTGGAGTTGGCCATCTATGAACTGAGACTTCTGAAACCATGAGCACCAAATAAACCTTTCCTTCTCTAAGATGTTCTTGTCAGTTCTTTCGGTCACAGCAGCAGAAAATCTGACTAAAATAACACCATACTTGGAACTCATTTATCACATTGTTTATAGATAACAGCACAGAAAAGTCATAACCCTGAAAGCACAAATGTCTATACTGATGTGGTTTATTTTAAAATTTAGATTTGAAAAATATTTAAAAATCAAGACTTTAAAAAATATTGTAGACTCTGTGTATAAGTTTGTATTAAGATGGAGAAGGACAATGACATTTTTTAACTACTCATTTTCACTAAGAGTTGTGAAACATAAATACATATGTTTTCCTCTTATAAAAATATTAATATGCAAAATTTGCTGATCTTGACTGTAATGACAAGAGCCATTAGTTTAAGTTTACCTAGAAGAGAATTTTTAATATAAGAGCAGTTAGTCTATCCTCTCATTGTGCAATTTACATTGAGTTATGTGTCAAGAAGAAACTATTTCACAAAACTTATCATACGTAGAACATCTGCAAACTGGTAATTCATAACTATCTCCATGGTTTTCTGATTCTGTAACTCAACATGATCATGTGCAACCGAAGACAGCTCTCATACTTTATAATTTCTAAATATGAGAAGCAGAGGATATTAGTTTTCAATCATTGCCTAACAAATTACCAGAAATTTATTAGCTTAAAACAAAACATACACATCATTATCTCATAATGTCCCTAGGTCAAAAATGTGGGCACGGTTTAGTGCCTACTGCCCAGGCTCTCAGAAGCTGCAATAAGGTCTCAGCTGGACTGTGTATTTATCTGGAAGCTCAATTGGGAACCATATACTTCCAAGTTCACTGAGGTGGCTGGTGGAATCCCTTACTTGTGACTACATGACCGAGGGCCCAGGCTTTTTGCTGTCTGACTGGAGGCCTGGAGGCCACCTATAGGTGCTAGAAGCTGCCTGTAGCTCCTAGAGGTCAGCCAGAGTTCCTTCCTATGTGGGCTTCTCCAACTCCCTCTCTATTTCTTCCATATCTCAAGAAGAGTCTCTTGTTTCAGTATGCTAAAATCACCAAACATAAGCACAGGAGTGACATGCCACACCTTTGCCACATTTAAATGATTGGAAGCTAGTCACATGTCCTGTCCATATTCAAGGGAAAGGGATTTCACAAAGGTGAAGGCATGGTCTTTAAGGGAGGGGAGACATTAAGGATCACCTCGGGGTCTGATATACAGAATCTTCCAATCACTTTGTAGATCTTTATAATAAAGACTTCAATAGGCTTTGAATACATTTATTAGGAATATAAGAATGAAACTAAAAGAACACCTGACTGACATCAGGGAAGTGGAAATTTTCTTGCCAGATTATTACAAATACTTCTGCTAGGAAGTCTTGGTGGCTAGGAATGAACAATGAGTATCATGACTTCAAGTGCAGCCAATGATACACTCTTTAATTTAGATCTATTTATCTTTGGGAGATAATTATAGTTTTTTTCAGCTTTGACAGCCACTAAAACTAAGAATTAAAAGAAACTGAATTTAGTGATAGACCTTTGAATTTCCAGATTAAACATATTAAAAGTGTTAAATCAAGATTTTAGAATATAAAGATGCTTATTTTATCATACTGTTTTTTTTAATTTTAAAAAAGTTTTTAAATAGTTTTACATGGCAGTAGAATGTACTTTGATATAGTCCACATCATATATGATGGAGTATAATTTCTCATTCTTCTGGTTATACATGATGTAGAATCCCACCGGTCATATAGTTATATATGTACATAGGGTAATAATGTCTGATTCATTCTACTATCTTTTTTATCCCCATACTCCCTTCTTCTCCCTCTCCCCTCTACCTTATCTAAAGTAACTCTGTTCTTCCCTAGTGCCCCCCCCTCGCCACGTCATTGTAAATTAGTATCCACATATCAGAGAAAACATTTGGCCTTTGATTTTGGGGGATTGGCTTATTTGGCTTAGCATGATATTCTCCAGCTCAATCCATTTACTGGCAAATGCCATAATTTCATTGTTCTTTAAGGATGAGTAATATCCCATTGTGTGTGTATTCCATATTTTACTTATCCATTCATCTGCTAATGGGCACCTGGGTTGGTTCCATTGTTCAGCTAGTGTAAATTGAGCTGGTATAAACATTGATGTGGCTTCATCACTATAATATGCTGATTTTAATTCCTTTTGGTATAAACCAAGACATGTGATAGCTGGGTCAAATGATGGTTCCATTCCATGTATTCTGAGGAATCTCCATAACACTTTTCATAATGGTTGCACAAATTTGCATTTCCACCAGCAATGTATGAGAGCACCTTTCTCCTCACATCCTTGCCAGCATTTATTGTGGTTGATATTCTTGATAATTGCATTTCTGACTGGGGTGAGATGAAATCTTAGTGCCATGACCAGCGTGGCCAAAGTAGCAGGTTCCCACCAGGGGTGATAGGAGATTGGAAGAAATAGAGTCACACAAGCAGATCTTAAAGATAAAATAGCAGAGGTTGGGTGGAGCACTGCTCTCTGATGGAGAAGCAGGTCTAAAGAATTACACCAGCAATCTTTATTAAATATCTCTAAATCATATTAAAGACTATGCAAGCATTTTTCTTTGTATTCATAAAAGTTACAGAGTAACAGTATGCAGCTATTTCCTCAGTTACATTCTACAGTTGAAATGTACAGTGTTAGGAGCATTGTGCAGCTCTCAAGAAAGTTCACTGTTTAAAGTTACTGATTCGAAGGCAGATTCAGGAGCAGCAGAACTGGTGAAATATTTTGGTTACCTTAGCAAGGAAGTTCCTTCATTTCCAGGAGCTGCGGTGCCTGAGAATAAGGTTGAAGCTGATAAGACTCTAGCATGGAAGACATCTCCATAGCAACCGAGCATCCTATGCATTTGCATAGAAACTTTCCCAGTCACCAAGTATGCCACAGCCATGAAGTCATCAGGGACCCCAGTCTCAGACACTGATCTCCCAGTCACTGTCAGCACTCTCCACATCTTTGATTTGCCTTTCTCTAATTGCTAAAGATATTGAACATTTTTTCATATATTTGTTGGTTGATTGTATTTCTTTTTCTGTGAATGTCTGTTCAGTTCTTTAGTCCATTCATTGATTTTGTGTGTGTGTGTGCCATAATTTGAGTTATGCTTTTTAAAATCTTATAATTGGTTTAAGCCATGATTATACATTGTCCAGTCTTAACTCTGATGATTTCCTTTGCAAATTTATTTATTACCTACTATTTGTGAAGAAATATATGATCTTCATGCCTTCCCTGAATTTCAGGAAGGAAGCTTCTTCTCGAACATCTTGGAGTAACATCTAAGACCTGGTGAGGCAGGTCTTGTTCTCCATTTTATTTCCAAACAAGCTTTCCTCTGATCAGTCTTTTCTTGCAATTGAATTCTCTGAGCTATACTTTCTTATGTTGATCCATTGTCTACTTTTGTAACTTCCAATTATTGGCCTCAGGTCTTCCCCTTAGGGATGTATAGATCAACACAGATAATTGTTATCACAGATAATTCTGATACTACACTACATCTCTTGTCTGGATGACCCAGGTCCTCTAAGTATTGCTCTTATTCATTAAACAGCTGTTTATTGGGTGCTGTATTAGGCTGTTAGGGGTGTCATAATAAAATACCACAGACTGGGTGGCTTAAACAGCAGAAATTATTTTCTCAATGCTCTGGAAGCTAGAAACCCAAGATTAAGATGCCAGAAAAGCTAGTTTCTCTTGAGGCCTCTCTCCTTGGCTTACAGAGAGCTGCCTTCTCCCTGGGTCCACACATGGTGTTTTCTCCATGTGTATATTTGGGTATTTTTTCTCTTTTTGTAAGAACACCACTTTTATCGAATTAGTGCTCGCTCTACCTTTATAACGCTATTTAACTTTACGTCCTTAAAGGTCACATTGGGAGTTAGAGCTTCAACATATGAATGGGGTGGATTAACATAATTAAATCCATAACACATGTACATGCCAGAATAGCAAACAATTAAAAACAACAAACCCCAAATCAACCAAGCTGGCCCAATGGAAAAATGAAATGGTTTCAAGCCTTTAAAAATATCTTCAAGGGTGCTGTCGGAGGGGATAGGGTAGGTTGTTTTTTGTCTGTTTGTTTTAGCTTACAAGGCATTTATTAACAGAAAATAATCTGAGGAGTCCTGTTCACAGACCGCGACCAGAGCAAACCCACTTCCTGCGGGTGCTATCGGATGCGGGTGACATCTCAATCCGCCCAATCTTCATTCCTGAACGAGCAAGGGTTCTGAGAGCTGACTGGGCCCCAGGTCCAGAGGTCTTGGTCCTCTTTCCTCCTGTGGCCCAGAGAGTTTGATATGGAGGGCAGTGATGCCTAGCTCCTTGCACCGCTGGGCTACATCCTGGGCAGCCAACATGGCAGCATATGGAGAGGATTCATCTCTGTCAGCCTTCACCTTCATCCCACCTGTCACACGACAGATGATCTCCTTGCCAGAAAGATCAGTGACATGGACAAGAGTGTCATTGAAGGATGCAAAGATGTGGCAGACATCAAATACATTCTCTCCTTCAGCCACCTGAGGCCCAAGGCTGATGACCTGTTATTCCTTCTTTTCCTTTCCATTGCGAGGTGCCATTTCTGGGCCTCTGTCTCCAGACTCTGCCACAGGAAAGAGAGGTTGGGAAGGGGCGGGGCGATGGGTCGTTTCCGACTCCTGCCGGAAGTATACCGCTGAGGTCAGGGGGGGGGGCGAGGTCGGTTCCGGAATACGACGCTTTTATTGCTCAAGAAGAGACTAAGACTCCGCCCTCCGGGAAGATAGGTTACTTAAGGGAGAGCGGAAAGAAGCCTGGGGATGAGTGTTGCGCCAACGGGTTTTCCCTCCAGGACTGAACGAATCGGATACACCCACGAGGTGAGGCGGGTTTATGTTCCAAGATGGCGGGGGCCGCGACCAATTTTTATTTCCTGTCTTTGTTTTATTTTTATTTCCTATGTATCAATTAAAAATAAACTTAATTTAAAAATTAAAAAAATATCTTTGAGGGACTGGGATTGTGGCTCAGCGGCAGAGCGCTTGTCTAGCATGCGTGAGGCACTGGGTTCGATTCTCAGCAATCAATCAATCAATAAATAAATATTCATCATCAACAACAACAACAAAAACTCTTCAACTCATATGGCAGCCTGAACCTAATCCAATACTGGTTATGTTACCTTGCTAACAGAGAATGAATGGCACTATCTTCTTCTCTCACTTTATGGAACTTATGACCTTATTTATAGCCCATGAAAACATTTACTCCTACAGAAGCTGTGTTGATGTCAAAGAGAGCCCCGTTTTATATATCTCTCAAAAAAAGCCATTGTGTCTTTGTGGTATACACCTTAGATTGAAAGCTGGAAGAGTTGAAGGTGATGTCTTCTAATTTTTGCCACATCTAAACTCAAACTAACACTGTGTCAGAGTTTAGGCACTGTGATAGTTAGAGGATAGGCATGGCATCACATACAGCTGGCTTCATGGGAGTGTGACCCTTACCCTAGGTTGGTAGTTCTGCTGTGGTCATCTTGAAATTCTTAATTTTCAAGCAGTCCTCATTTTCATTTTATACTGGATCTCACAAATGATGTGCCTGGCTTTTAAAAGGGAGACATTTTATCAAGAGTCAATTAAACTAGATGTCAGAAGACCTGAGTTCTGCCCCAAGGTCTACCACTAACTAACTTACATTTGATGATCATTGCTCCTTTATCTCCACACTGGAAGGATTCTGTGTTCTTACTCAAAGTGATGCAACCCTGCTTTAGAAAAAGGTTTATGTAAAGGACATGTGCTGTTTTTGTCTGCCAAACATCTCCTCAGTTTTCTTCAGGCTCCTTCTTACTTTCTGTCCTGTTAGTTACTAGGTTCAGGAAAATAATCTAACTTCATCTCTTAACCTTGATCCAGGATGATCTAGTAGTTCAGGCCTGGGCAATAAAAATATACACTCCCGCCCCTCAACAGTCTGGAAATGGGCATATGGCTCAATCCAGGTCAATTAGATGGGATCATAGGACTTCCATGCACTATCGGGGGTGGTGCTTTCTCTCCTACCGCACAGCTGTAAAAGGAAGGCCTGGAGTTGCTGATGGTCACCTGGCCTCCATCCACCAGGGGAAACCTGCTTAAGGATAGAGCAACATAGAAACATCAGTTGCAAGATGAAGACAGTGAGTCCAAGACCTAAGGACAGGGTGTGAGTTTCTGGATGAGGAGCTGTGACCACACACTGTACATAACAGTTATATCAATAACTGAGCCAATGAAGTCCCTGAGCTGACTGATGTGTGTGTCTGTCCCTTCCAACTAAGAGCAAGTAGTGGGGATTGTTCACCACTGGATCCCTGGTACAAAGCAGAGCGCTAGCCACATAATCAAAACTGACAATAAATGAAAGAATACTTTGTCATGGAAGTTCACAGGATAATGAATTTCTGAAAAATGTAAATGTTTTTCTTTGTTTATAGATACATTTCAGAGACCTGGAGAGCACTAAGAACTAGGTACCATGGTTCACGGGAAACCACTAATCACCTTCAATGACTGCCAGAATCATCACCCTTATTGAGCTAATGAAGGAAGATCGAAGACAAACCTCCAGGAAGTAGCTTCTGAAATTCAAAGTCACTTTTTAAACTTGGGAATTTGGCTTAAATATAAGTTTTATTGATCAAATTAAAACGTACCATTGTGTAACATATGAAGAATGAAGTAGGAGCCTTTGCTGAAAGAATACATGGAGCTGAAGGAACCATGGAGCAGTCTTCCTCTGCCCTACCTGCTGTATGATCATGCAGGTTAAAAAGTAATAAAGTAGCTTAATTATTGTCTTGAAAGCACCTGTTCCAAATACTATTATTTCCTTGATAATACCCTGATCAAATAAATTTCTTTACTCTCAGCAGAGAAGGCCCTTTGAGATAGGAGCCCACATAGTTTTGTATCAACTATCAGATGCTGCATGAAAAAGGGAGCAGAAAGAGTTTCTCTTAGTACAGAGAAAACATGTATAAATTCCATAGCTATCTATCAGGGGAAATGGATATCTCTAAAGTCCTCAGAGGCATTTGAATTGAGATATGTGCTCTCTCAGACAACACTGGCGAAAAGAAAGGTAACTGATAACTGAATAGTTCCCTAATTCTCTAAATCTTGTGACAATTCCCAGGAAATTCTGATACTTACAGTCAGATCATGTACATCTTTCTGGAGGCAAAGTGTGAGAGAAAAGAAATATGACATTTCAGCAGGGAGAAACCCCTCCCAGAAAGTCCAGTTGATTCACATATCCAACAATGCAACCATCTTGGCTTCCCACTTCTTCTCTCAAACCTAGCAGAGCTCTTGGCAAAGTGAGCACACCACAAGTACTTGTTAAATGATTAATAAATTGAATAAATAGATGAATTTCCCCCTCGAAGGTCATGAGCTCAGTTTTTTTCCTACATTTGTTTCACTCTGTACTTTTTTCATTTAATCATGAATCATGTGACACCTTGTGGCATATTATGTTACTCAGTTACACTGTATTGTTTAACTTCTCATCTATTTGTTTCACCTTCTTCTGAGATGTATCATAAGTTCTCTGAAGTAGTTGTTATAGTCCTTTATAAACCCTTAAACATTTAAAGTACTTAAACATTTAATGTAGGTTAATGACAGCATTCATGGAAACCACACATATTTGGCACAAATGCTGTCTTCCTCCCCTTATAAGGGTTACCACACCCAAGAGAGTACACAATTTCTCTACAGTCCAGGATGTCCAGAGTGCCCCAATTCGATTGACTTATTTTGTATTTCAACACACAGGATCATGGCCAACATGGTAGTCTTTAAAATCAACCTAAGTACAGAGAGATTCTCAGATCACTGGAAGTAAAAGGTGATATGGAAGAAGGTAGAATGGTCTAAATCAGTTCCTTTGTTTGAGCTACAAATAACCAAGGCCAATATCCGAAGTAAAAGTGTTTGTTACAGTTACCAGGCAACTGAGAATCCAGAGAACTGGACCACAGGAACTTGCTCTTTGTGGACTGATGGGCTCCTGGGTAAAAAAACATTATGTGAATAAGGACTTTACTTTTCATTAACTATATTTAAAATTTTTGAATATTCCTTTTCAATTGTCCCTATCAACAAACACATGAGAGATTGCCCTGAGTATAAAATGCTCAGGGGATTATGCCGCCCCGTTCCATAAATCAAAAGATGAAAAGATTGGATGTCAGCACTTAGACCATACACACCCTTCCTGAAGGGAATGGGAATATTTTATTGTACTGTCTGAAAGATTTGTAATCACATTTCAATAAGAAAACAAAAGTGATGACTATTTTCCCTTGGGTCCAAAGACAAGAGCTAATTTTACTCTTTGCTCTTGAGCTCCCGATAATGGACTCTGTTGTGGCCCAGATGGGAGCACCACTTACCCTACAGATGCTGAGGCTAGTGAAGAGTGTATACAACCTATATTCATCACCGACACTCATCCTTCCACTCAAGTATAAGAAAATACGAGAAGATTTAGAGGAGAAATGATTGCGTTATGAGAATCTTAACCCTCATAATTGTGATGTGGCTCATCAGCTCCTTCAGGACAGCAGTTGTGCTTTATTCTTGCTTTGAAGACTTGTAAATCAATTCCAGGTCCCTCTTTCATCAAAAGTCTTCCAGTGGCTTTCAAATAAGTTTAAAATGCAGTCAGCCTCCCATATTCACAATTCCCATCCATGGGTACAACAAATACTGGATCATTTACATTGTACTGGGCATTATAGTTAATCTAGAGATGATTCAAAATTTACCAGAGGATGTGCACAGATTATAGGTAAATACTGCACCATTTTAAACAAGGCACTTGGGCATCTATGGATTTTTGATATATGTGTGGGTCTTGGAATCAAGACCAAAGGATGTCTATAAATTCCAGCTCTTCACCATGGCCTCTAAGGCACTAATGCTGTGGCTCTTCCCACTTCTTTGCCTGTTCTCCCTTTACTCACACCCCAGCCCTCCAGCCACCGAGGCCTTCTCCCTTGTCCTCAAACTTGCCACACTTGCTCATTGCCCTTGTTCATGTCCTGTCTGCCTGAAGTGCTTTGCTTCAAGACCTTCAACTAACAATTCCTTTGCATCAATATTCTCAGCTGAAATATCGAGACATCTTCAAAGCACACTCTATTACATTCACCATATTTTATTTCTCCAAAAGTACATTTTAATAACTGAAGTTAGCTTGTATATTTATTTTTCATTTGTTTATTATTGGTTCTGTGCCTCTGAGATATAAGCTTTATGAGAATACAGAGCCTACCTCACTCACTATTATCTTCCAACTCCTAGAAGAATACCTAGTACATAACAGATGCTCTTATGGTTTGGATGTGAAGTATCCCCCAAAAGCTCAAGTATAAGAAAATACAAGAGGGTTTAGAGGAGAAATGATTGGGTTATGAGAATCTTAACCCAATCTTAATCCCCTGATGGATTAGCTGAGTGAAGACTGAAGGCAAGTAGGATGTGGCTGGAGGAGGTTGGCAATGAGGGCTGCCTTTGAGGTATATATTTTGTATCTGGAGAGTGGAGATCTCTGTCTGCCTTCTGATCATCATGTGAGATGCTTCTCTCCACCATACTCTTCTGCCATGATGTTCTGTCTCACCTTGAGCCCTGAGGAATGGAGCTAGCCTTCTATAGAATGAATCCTCTAAAACTGTGAACCCCTCAATAAACTTTTCCTCTTTTGTTCTTGTCAGGTCTTTAAGTCACAGTAGTGAAAAGGCTGACTAAAACAGATACCCAATAAATAGCCATTTTTTTCTTCCTTATCATGCCTCATACTATAGTGTCATAGGTAGAGTCCAAAACCATATGGGAAAGAGAAAAACTAGCCATGTCATTTATAGTTGAGATTCTATGGACAGGAGGGCAACCGATACAGGACTGAGGGAAGGACAAGTTCATTAACAAGTTACCTGTTTTTGTAAGTACTATTGTTGTTTTCAAAGTAGAAAAAAATTATGCAAAGTTTAAAATAGTCCCTTTTTAATGTTTTCCCCCTTATACTGTATCACTAGTATATAGTTAGGAAAAAAACACTGAGCAGATGGTTTATGCCATGTTGCCAACTGGAACTGATAGGTGATGGCTGTCTGGAGGACTTCATTAGAGGTATTCTAAGAATAAATCCAGATTCTTAATGTCTGTTCTGGCCTGCTTGGGAGCTGACTGTGAGAAATGAGTTCCAGTGCTTCCCAATTCAAATGACTGTCTTTTTTCACAAAAAAAGCAAAGTTGTCTAGATAGAAGCTCTGGGACAATAGTTTAATTGGATTATACAACTATTGAAGGTAATGAAATCAAAAGGATTGTCATTTTATTCTTGGCATGATAATAAAGAAATGGAGATGGCTCCACCATTTTTAGCACATGACTTTGAACAGGTCATAACATCTCCAGGCTTCAGTTTTCTCAACCCTAAAGTGACTTAACAATGAATTTTAAGCTACCTAAATAAATATATGTGTTCTGTATAAATATATGGTTGTTGGAGGGAATCTGGTGGTCTCTAGACCATATTTGCATCTCTTGTGTCCTGAATTTTCTTGGTCTTAATCTTCTGGGATGCTGCCCTGTGGCCATGGCCTCCCCTGGCTGTCACTTGTGGGCTTTGACATGCACCCAGACAGAGGCTCTCAGATGCTGCCCTACCTCACCCAGCCGGTATTCTTCATATGTCTTGCCTCTAGGAATTTATTTTGGAATATGTCTTTGTCTACAAATTGCTAGCTGGGATGCTGGTAGATTTATTAGCTTAATTAATGCTGGGAATGTAAACAATAGTTTCTCAGGGATTAAAGTTTTAAGCTTGAGACTGTCTTTTGGGGGGAACATGTGCGTTTTTCTGTTCCCAAGCTTGTGTGCCTTTCATCTTCTGGCCAGTGTTCAGACTTGTTGCCAGTTTTTCATAAAACATTCAAAAGGAAAACGAGAAGGAAGGCACTAGAGAAACAGTACCCAAGCAAAGTGGTTAAAAAATTCTTTAAGAAGTCCAGGCACCACAAGGGAGAGGGAACCAGGAAGAGGCTGTGCTGACTGACAAGTGATGGAAAATCACTGAACCATAATAGACCTCACTTGTATTGACATGCGCTAACTGAAGTGAACAGCTGGGGTGAAGTTGCTGAGCATCTTATTTTGGAGTTTGGCAGTGGACTGAACTCTATTTGCAAAGCAGACAGCTATGACAGGATTTTACAGGTCTAGTGCAGAACAAAAATGTAGTCAGCTTAGCCTTGCAACTGAAGTCTTGCAATGGACCATTGCTTTTGTTAGACACTGTTTTTATAGAAGGGACACCCCACTGTCTCTCCTTCCACATCATGGCATTTGAGATAGCATGAGCCTGTTGTTTGATTTCCTTTAGTGCAGTCAGGATTGTAATTTAGCAGCGTGTTTGTGCAGGTGATACATGACATCTGATGTTTTGCCCACACAGCCTGAAAAACACACAGTGCACATGCACACACAAAAGAAGAATTTACATAGTGGTGCTACTTCTAAAAGTGGACATTAACTGAACATTTATTCAGTGTCAGTCAGTGTGTTAAAACCTTTTATAAACTCACCCTATTCAATCCTCAGAGTAAACCTCTGTGGTTGGTACTGTTATTACCTTCATTTTGCAGGTAAGGAAACCAGGACTTGGAGACATGAAGTCATATGCCTCAAAGCATAATTAGTAAGTAACAGAGCCAACATTGCAACCCAAATGTGTCTGACCCACAAGCCTGTGTTCCTTACCACTAGATCCTACTGTCACCATTATCCACACACAATTAAAATGGGTGGAATTCTTGGATCTAGTTCTTTGGATAATTTGGTCTTTTGCATTAGTGT